AGCTCCCTCACAACCCTAACCTTGAATTACATCTCAACACCCCCACCCCCAAACCCCTAACCACCGCCGTCGCCACCCGCCGGGCACTACCCACCCACCACCACCACCACCGCCACCACCTCCACCGCGGCCACCAGGACCTCTGCGCAGAATGACACGCACAAATCGAGTTGGCCTGGAACCCCAGCTTTTGGCATTGGGGCTTATTTAATTTAGTAGGTGTAACTCAGGGTATAATATAAGGCCGTGGGGTTTCCGTGTAGTTTACTAAGTGAGCAGGGCTTATAGATAAGGACGATAGAATATCACCCCTTTCGGGTTTGAGCTTTTTACGCCCTAGGGCCTTCAATGCTGTAAACCCTCAGCCTTAAAGCCTTTAAAACCCTAAGCCGTAAATACCCTAACTGATGATCCTTAAACCCCAAGACCCTAAAACCCTAAACCCTAAACCCACCTCGCGCACCCCCCTGGCCTCTTCTACCTGTTCCGCGGAGATGAGGCCGGGCGTGACTTGGCTGGGGACCTGTTGGCCTGCTCGCCCTTGGACTTCGGTCCGAGAGCGTCTGGCTCGACGGGTCCCCGAGTGTCTTGGTGTTGGGAGCTCGTTAAGCCTGTGCTCACCCCGGACCGCGGTCTGGAGTGTCCAGGCTTGACGGCTTCCACTCATCAGGCTGTGCTCACCCTGGACTTCGGTCCGGAGTGTCCAGCCTGTTACGTAACATGTAAGGGGTTTGGGGTAAATTATTATGGTTTTTATGCGAGACGTGTGGCATTGACCTTCAGGTGTTGTGTCGATTTACGGTTGCTGTCTCTCCAAACTTAGCAAAAACGAGCCTCCCAATAAAGAAGCTTATTACGTGCTTCAGCATGACATAGCACAAGTAAGCCTATGCTGGGAGAAGCGTTTTCTATACCGGGAGCTATATTCTTCTTTGCAGCTTTTTCAAAGCTGTTCACAGTTCACAAGCAAACCTATACTGGGAGCAGCGTTTTCTATACTGGGAGCTTCCTTGCAGCTCCCAGTATAGAAAACGCTCCTCCCAGTATAGGTTGGCTTGTGTAGGATTGGCTTGGTAGAGCATTTTCACGATCTCTAGCTCCTATACTGGGAGGAGCGCTTTCTGTACTAGATAGGTGTTTTTGAATGAAACAGTATTGCAACCTATAGTGTCCCCGCCAAAACACATGCCAGTATAGAAAACTGCTCTCCCAGTATAGAATCTGTATCTCTTATCAAGCCAATCACGCACAAGCAAACCTATACTGGGAGGAGCGTTTTCTATACTGGGAGCGGCACGGCAGTTCCCAGTATAGAAAACGCTGCTCCCAGTATAGGTTTGCTTGTGCGTGGTTGGGCCTATAGAAGCTGTTTACAGTTCACAAGCAAACCTATACTGGGAGGAGCGTTTTCTATACTGGGAGCTGCAAGGCAGCTCCCAGTATAGAAAACGCTCCCCCCAGTATAGGTTTGCTTGTGCGTGATTGGCTTGATAGGAGGGCATGTGTTTTGGCGGAGACACTATAGGTTGCAATACTGTTTCAGTCAAAAACACTTATCTAGTACAGAAAGCGCTCCTCCCAGTATAGGAGCTAGAGATCGTGAAAATGCTCTACCAAGCCAATCCTACACAAGCCAACCTATACTGGGAGGAGCGTTTTCTATACTGGGAGCGGCACGGCTGTTCCCAGTATAGAAAACGCTGCTCCCAGTATAGGTTTGCTTGTGCGTGGTTGGGCCTATAGAAGCTGTTCACAGTTCACAAGCAAACCTATACTGGGAGCAGCGTTTTCTATACTGGGAGCTTCCTTGCAGCTCCCAGTATAGAAAACGCTCCTCCCAGTATAGGTTGGCTTGTGTAGGATTGGCTTGGTAGAGCATTTTCACGATCTCTAGCTCCTATACTGGGAGGAGCGCTTTCTGTACTAGATAAGTGTTTTTGACTGAAACAGTATTGCAACCTATAGTGTCTCCGCCAAAACACGCTCTCCCAGTTTTGAATCTGTATCTCCTATCAAGCCAATCACGCACAAGCAAACCTATACTGGGGGGAGCGTTTTCTATACTGGGAGCTGCCTTGCAGCTCCCAGTATAGAAAACGCTCCTCCCAGTATAGGTTTGCTTGTGAACTGTAAACAGCTTCTATAGGCCCAACCACGCACAAGCAAAGCTATACTGGGAGCAGCGTTTTCTATACTGGGAACTGCCGTGCCGCTCCCAGTATAGAAAACGCTCCTCCCAGTATAGGTTTGCTTGTGCGTGATTGGCTTGATAAGAGATACAGATTCTATACTGGGAGAGCAGTTTTCTATACTGGCATGTGTTTTGGCGGGGACATTATAGGTTGCAATACTGTTTCATTCAAAAACACTTATCTAGTACAGAAAGCGCTCCTCCCAGTATAGGAGCTAGAGATCGTGAAAATGCTCTACCAAGCCAATCCTACACAAGCCAACCTATACTGGGAGGAGCGTTTTCTATACTGGGAGCTGCAAGGAAGCTCCCAGTATAGAAAACGCTGCTCCCAGTATAGGTTTGCTTGTGAACTGTGAACAGCTTTGAAAAAGCTGCAAAGAAGAATATAGCTCCCGGTATAGAAAACGCTTCTCCCAGCATAGGCTTACTTGTGCTATGTCATGCTGAAGTTAATAAGCTTCTTTATTGGGAGGCTCGTTTTTGCTAAGTTTGGAGAGACAGCAACCGTAAATCGACACAACACCTGAAGGTCAATGCCACACGTCTCGCATAAAAACCATTATAATTTACCCCAAACCCCTTACATGTTACGTAACAGGCTGGACACTCCGGACCGAAGTCCAGGGTGAGCACAGCCTGATGAGTGGAAGCCGTCAAGCCTGGACACTCCAGACCGCGGTCCGGGGTGAGCACAGGCTTAACGAGCTCCCAACACCAAGACACTCGGGGACCCGTCGAGCCAGACGCTCTCGGACCGAAGTCCAAGGGCGAGCAGGCCAACAGGTCCCCAGCCAAGTCACGCCCGGCCTCATCTCCGCGGAACAGGTAGAAGAGGCCAGGGGGGTGCGCGAGGTGGGTTTAGGGTTTAGGGTTTTAGGGTCTTGGGGTTTAAGGATCAGCAGTTAGGGTATTTACGGCTTAGGGTTTTAAAGGCTTTAAGGCTGAGGGTTTACAGCATTGAAGGCCCTAGGGCGTAAAAAGCTCAAACCCGAAAGGGGTGATATTCTATCGTCCTTATCTATAAGCCCTGCTCACTTAGTAAACTACACGGAAACCCCACGGCCTTATATTATACCCTGAGTTACACCTACTAAATTAAATAAGCCCCAATGCCAAAAGCTGGGGTTCCAGGCCAACTCGATTTGTGCGTGTCATTCTGCGCAGAGGTCCTGGTGGCCGCGGTGGAGGTGGTGGCGGTGGTGGTGGTGGTGGGTGGGTAGTGCCCGGCGGGTGGCGACGGCGGTGGTTAGGGGTTTGGGGGTGGGGGTGTTGAGATGTAATTCAAGGTTAGGGTTGTGAGGGAGCTTGTAACAATCACTTAGTTAGATTAAACCTTACTAAATGAAAAGCTGTAAGCCCGAAGCCTATTATTCGATTTCAAAACTTCGACCACGAAACCGAACCTCAGCCCCTACCCGGGCCCCAACACCCCAACCCTTTGCGTCACCACCACCACCACCAACTACACTAGGATGTGCCTTGATTCTAAACCCCAAACCGCTAAACCGTCATTGCATTAATTTAAACCCACAACAGAACCAAGACCCTCCCGCCGCTCGGTCCTCAGTCGTCTCGTCGCTCGCCCCGGCGGCCGCTGGGGGTTTGCGGGTTGGGGGTGTTGGGCTGTTGGGGCCTCGGTGCTTTTATGGGATTAAATTAATGCAATGACGGTTTAGGGGTTTAGGAGTTTAGGGTTTAGAATCAAGGTAGCCAGGATCTCTAGTGTTCAATGTTTGTAGCAACATGCCTACGCTGGGAGCCTCAAGACAAACAACAAGCCAAACCCCAACCACCAGCAAAAATTAAAAATTAAGTTCAAACTGGTAGCAGTAAACCCTAAACCCGTAAAACCCTGAACCCCAAACCCTGAACCCCTAAACCCTAAAACCATAAACCCTACAGTCCTACAGAGTTTAGGGTTTAGGAGGGTTTCGGGTCGGATTGGTGGGTCTTGCTTTTTGGGACGGAAGGACGCTGAAAGCCTCTGGAGGCTGCTCCAAACCGGGTTCCCTTGCTTGCTTACTTGGAGGGTCATCGGACTTAGCAAGTATGGCTATAAATACCTTAATTGGGGTTGTAAGTAGTTACAAGTATAGTTACCCGAATTACCCGAATTATAACCCTGGGTACTAAGTCCCATGATCCTTTAAGTAAGGTGCCTGTGGGCTCTGCTTCAAGGGCTAAGGGCTCGCCGTAGGCATTTCTTGTTTAGGTTTCGGGCTATATCTGCTGTCGTAGCAGTCTGAACTAGAGCCTGCCTTTGCAACGTCATTTGGAGAAACTTGAACAGGCGGCTTTTGCAAAGTTCTCTTGGCTACATCATCAAGCAAGGGGTCTACGCAAGACGGGTGGTGCGGAAAATCTCGAGGCTCCTATATGTAGTCGCTGGCTACACGAAGCAACGCAATCGAGGCTGAATGTCTGTCAATTGGTTGGTAAGGTCTTAGGCAAGCAAAACCAAGTGTGTTGGTCGCAATCCTCTTCTGAGATACTAGTTTGTCGCCGCGGCGCAACAGTGACACATGGGGTCCCTGTCGTAGGAGAAGGTACGAATCTGCTGCAGAACTGTCTCGATGGTGCGGAAGTGGGCTCGAATGGCAGAGACAGCAAAGGCAAGGCAAAGCACTGCCAGGGCGATGAAAACGACGGCGATGATGGCGCCAACTCCAACATTGTTCTCGGCACCGCGGGCATCGACGCCGGCGACGGAAAGGAGTCGAGGCAACAGAGTTGAAATAGCCCACGTGCCAACAAATAAGCCAACTGCACCTTACGTTTTTACCGGAATGATGTCTGTGGTGGGAAACTAGACTACGACACATGCTTCGTTTGAGTCGATGGTAGCCAAGCTGCTTGGACCCCAACTTGTGGGTTTGATGGCGAGGTCTTGTTGTGCACCGTTGTGGCTCTTCAGGAATGCAGCCATTTCCAAGACGCACCACAACCTGAGACTCTTTTCGTCATTCACACGCAGCCTTCTTTGCTACAGAAGCTCTCCCCCCGGCGTTCAAAAGTATGGATCGAGGCGAGTAAGTTTTCCATCTCCCTGCCTCGTCAGGTAGGTCGCATCCCAACAGGCCAGCATCGAATCCGAGTGCTTTAAGATGGCAGCCACGTTCATCACGCCCTCCATCATCAACTTGGTGCTCTTCTGATGTATGCAGATGGTGTCGAGGAACACTTCAGTATTTGGCATCCAAAGCAGAAGCGTCAGGCAGGCAAGCAACAAGCCCATACATGCGCTGAGTGTGCTTGAAAGCAGAGTTTGGATGCCAAAGACCTGCAAGACCACCTGTCAGGGGATGCTCTTGCACGCTTCCAGCGTGTGGGCGACCATGAGAATCTAACCTACAGCAAACTCCGTGAAGCGAGATCGCGCAGGCCGCTAACTTCTGGTTAGTCTCCTGGGACTCCTTTGCGCCGAACGAACCACATAGCGCGATGCCGACATGATGGGTTTGCGACAGAAAACTATTGGAGCGCGTGAGCCACGCATTTCTGTGTGCCTACATTTGCATAGGCTCTTCTCAGAGGCAGCTAAGAACTGAACAACTTCCACCACAAGTGACTGGTTGGTCTTGGGGTCGGAAATGTCCTAGACCCGATTCTCACGAGCTAAGACATGCTACGGCCCAGCGGCCCCAGAGCACAAGCCCGGTTTCTAGCCTTGGTTGCCAGCATCCCGAAGGTGCCCGTGACGACGGCTGCCATGCCTAAGGTTGGAGAGAGGCGTCTTTTAATGATCGGGAGGTTTTGTGTCCAGTCAGAGTTGAGGCTAACGAATGCAGAAGCATGGCACATCTTGCACATACCAGGTAGCAAGATGGAACACGTCAGGACTTTTGCGACAACCCTTTACTCGCAACCCCAAGTCCCGAACCCCAAGCCCACAACTCAACGACAAAGACTATAAACCCTTAGGGGTAAAAATATTGGGAAATGGTCTACTTGGAATGAGAGCTGAGGGAAGGCCAGAGCTCAAACAGACTGGGGGGGGAGGTAATAAGCAACAGGTATGTTTCTCTTTGAGCAATTGCATGTTGGGGTATATTTAGACTCTAGGGAAATGTGTGTTTTTTGAACGACCCAACAGGAATGTGGCTTTTGTGGGGTATACTCAACTGTAAGAGTATAGGGTCTTTACATGAAGATTATTCGACTTGATTGCTGTTGACCAGCCACGACTTCTACCCACCTGTTGCGTTGCTGCTGCAAACATGAACTCTTTGCTCGGATTTGCGGTTGATTCTCAAAGTTATCTTTCTGCGAACTCTTTCATGCAAGCGATGGGGTTTGTCTCGTTGGTCTTGCTCGTTACCAGTTTCTTTTGGTGGTATCGCTCACCAGCATTCATATGATTGGTTCAACTGTTTGTATCAGCTCTTGTGCTCCAGTTTGCTCGCACCAAGTACTGTGAACAGTCACGATGACGCATCGACTAGACTCTGCCTTGGTTTCACATCATGTGCAATCTTGTTGGCTTTGGCCATGTTGCCTCTTCTATGAGTCTTACCGGCACGTTTCACATGTGGTTAATCATAGGCGGGTGCATATAGGCCTAACTACTCACGAACGTTGGACCTGCCGTTTGCGGATAGCTGCTCTGGTAGCTTTCCACATGTGCAAGTACATATTTTTCTGGTGAGTACGTATCCGCCTGCATACCTAAGGGCATGGTTTTGTCAAGTACACAGAGTTGTTGCATAGCAGCAAGTCTTGTGAAGGGCATCCTCGCATTGCAAACGTAAGGCATGCCCCCCACCTGAATTCCGCCGAGATGCCATTGTACACCACGAAGAGCAACAAAATTTTGGCCCAGACTGACCCGTGCCAGGAATGAGAGATGAACTGACCAATGCCTTTGCTTGCCTTGCTGTACTTATAGAGGTCTTGAGCGTATGGCTTGTGGCGGAAGGCCAGGCCGCACTTGGCGAGGACTTGGTGCGCGGAGGTTGTGCGCATAATTCCAGGTCGTGTGAGCTCCATTCGAGCAATGTACTGGCCCACCTGCACAAGTCGCAGATTCACATCATCCACTGTCACCGGATCCGGGTTCGACTCCATAGCTTCAACATCGATGTCCACAACCTCTTCTCCGTCCGCTTTTGCTGCCCCGATCGTAATCTCCTTGGGAGCTGTTGGAGCATCCATTCCAAGGTCCATGGCGTCGGCTATCGTCGGCACAAGGCAAAGGGAACACAGCCGAACTACTGCCCACCGCCTTGGCTTCGAGCTGCAAATTTGCGTCATTTCCGCCCGAGAGAAGTCTGCATTGCCAGGCCTGGCGAGGAAGCACTTCAGCCTACGCTCAGCATCCAGTAACAAGCCAAGAGATTCCGAAGCCCGCATGCGTACGAACCTGAGGGCCTGTGCCAATCTTGACACAAGGAATTGTAGTGGTATATAGGTAAAGCCATGATCGTAAAACCACCAATGATTGATGATATAACCATAGTATGCCGTAATCGACTACCAATCGTTGCAGACTTGCCTGAACCATGTCCGCCTGCACTGAAGCCTGGCTCCAAAACATTCTTGCTAGTCTTGTTCATCACGGGGTTTGAAGCTCATGGTTGTGAGGATTTCGGTGTTACAGTTTGGGGCTTAGGCGTTCGGTCGGGGTCTTTATGTGTTGCCCTGATCCGCGGGGTTCAGGCTCCGGCTCCGGGGTCTGAAAAGATTCCTACTACTGCGATTCTGGATGATTCTGGCGTGTCTTGGTGCTCTTCTGTTGCAATCGAAGGTCGTAGAGATTACATGCTCAGTATGTAGCAACAGAAGAGGGTTGGTCATGCTCATGTAGGACTTCATCAAAACGTCTCGGACGTGCTACATCGTCCTGGCCCTCACAACTCAAGCTCTTTGATCACGAGGGAGCCTCAATTAATCATAGCTCAGACAATTCCATTGCATCATTTGAGCTGCGCATCACATAGTACGTGCCCTAATTCAGCATCTTTCTCTTAGGACATGTATCAAGTTAACTGAGAGCTGAAGATTCAGACTAGCCGGCCGAGGACAAAACCCAAGTTGCAATGATATGAACATTTGTCCTCAGGCCTGTGTTCAGGTAGGCCAGGATTAGCATGACCAGGAAGATATCAGACATCCTTGTGACTTTCGCAGCAGGGAGATATCAACGTCTGGAAAAGCCCTGCGGATCTCGGGTGGCATTGGATTACCGAAGCGTATGACAAGGCATTTCCATGTCCGCTTTCCTTGAAGCTGTGCGACTGGTTCCTGGCGTACCGCCGGAATCACATGTAGAAACCCTGCAGTAACTTAGTAACTAGCTGGCCATTGTTACAATAATTCCAGTGTCGGCTTGACTACATGGATGTCTAACAGCTTGAATGCATGGCCACATGGGTAGGTATCCAACTCAGGGTCCTTTTTACAATACCTCATCCTTGGGGACCCAAACCGGCACTCTGATTAGCACAGGCGTTACAAGCTCTCTGCCAGCTAAAGTCGCTGTGAGAAACTTGCCAAGTTGCTGAGAGAAAACTCCCTTCCAGGCTCGAATTATTCTGATCCACAGACAGCCTCCATCTTGCAGCCCTGCAAAACCTTAACGGGCGAGAGCCTGGAACGCCTTCGCTGCCCTTGCCTTGTGCCCTCACGTCCAGGGACCCACGGTATTAGCTGCGAAAACTCGAAGACATTGTTGTGGGTTCAAGGTTCATGGTCTCCCCAGCACTGTTCAAGTCGCATGCGGGTCGCCCGGTCCGGGGTTGTCGATAGCGTCGATGCCGATGGCAGCCGACAACACCGATAATTAAGGCATGAGGGTGAGCCTGATGACGATGGAGAACTTATAGCCTGTTCTGTCTATGAAGAGCTGCAAAGCCGAGCAAGTTACTTAGCAATAACTCAGCAGCCAAACCACATGAACAAGTACAGTAGCTGCTGCCACCAAACACCACCAAACGATGCGAGCTGCAAACATGCAGACGCAAGCAGCAATGTACCCATTGATGCACGGAGCGCTTCTGAGAGCCAGGCTGATATGGAGAGAGAGCCTGAAGTGCAGCGGCTAATGCGGGGGCTTAATAATTAGAATAGGGTTTTGGGGGCCTATTATACCACAGCTACAATAAGGAACCCCAATAATAATATAGGTAATTATTTAGGCCTCTATGTATAGTATCTGTGGCTTAACGAGACGCTGTGGCGAGCCAGCGAGACCGGAACTGCGAGCCAGCAGTCCCCGATAATATAGGGGCCTTAATTATTAGAATAAGGTTCCTCTATCGGGGTCTATAAGAGCTACTACCAGGGATCTATAAGGGTATTATGATATAGGGGCCTTAGTAGTTAGAATAGGGTTTTGGGGCCCCGTATACTATAACTATACGTAATAAGGAACCCCTAAAATGGTATAGGTGATTATTATGGCCCCTGTGGTAGTCGCTAGCATCGCCCCGGATGCCTTGTGCTTCGGCTTGTCAATCTTCTCACGCTCCTGAACTGAATTTGAACCTGAACACCCAAATCATGTCCGACATCGCTCTTAGACTCTGAGATGCAAGCGCAGAGGAGTTTGCAAAACCTCGGTGGGCGGGAAGGCCCCTGCCAGATGCACTAACTGAAAGATTCGGGGCACCGAGCGAGATGCAATGCCCATGCCTCACAGTCTGGTTGTCGCTATGACTATGCGGTTTCGGGCTTGGGGTGCCGCCGGCACGATGACTGCAGGCCAAATCCAACAAGCCGACATTTCCTGCAATTGCAGAGGCCACCAAATCCTGGCAGTGCTTCGTCGCAACTTGTCCTGTGAGTCTCAGCTCTCTCAAAATCCTGCATTCACAAAGGAACGAAGTCTGAACCCGAGACCCTCGAACCTGCAACAAAAACATATCACGCCGCAGACGCCGACAGCAACCTCCCTGCTATCGCTTGTCAGAAGCACCCGACTCCAAAGCCCGTTTTCCTGACTGAAGTTTAACACATACACATGCATAATTCTCTCTCTCTCTCTCTCTCACTCAATCTCTGTCTATATATATATATGCATAAGCATAAACAGAGGCATGTACATAAACATATACATGTACATATACATGTACGTATAAACATATACGTCTCCATCTACATCTACACCTTCGTATACATATGTGT